ATATATATATATTTGATGACAATCATATATTTAAATATAAATTTAAATGCAAATTATAATACAAATATAAAATTTTAATTTTTTTTAAATTTAAAATTTTTAATTTTAACCCTGGAGCACCCACGGGGTCAGAATTGACCCCACCCCTTTTTGGGTCAAGGTTAGCCAACCCTATGAAAAAATAGTTTAAATTAAACCACTAATGCCCAGAGTGTCATATTTGACCCCGCAAGAGAGCCAGCTGGTGGTGAATTGAGGAATTAAAATGCCCTTGAGCAGTTTCAAGATGGCAGCCCCCATGATTTGATGCAGATCAAATTTGCGGACACTGAATGTCACCTGCTGTTGCGTGATAAGGTAAGCATCATAAATTATATACACATCAAGTAATTTTCTAGATAGCATAGGTCATATATATGCTATTTAAAATACTTTGTTTTGATTTCAACTACTCGTGGGGGAGCCCTCAAGTGCATGGGTCATATATGACACATTGGGGCTTGAGGTAGCTAAAATATGCAATAATGCCAATATATTGGTTTCTACTATAACTTTTTTTCTATTGAATTTTGCACATATATGAACCATATATGCAATATATATATTTTATATACATATATATTACAATATATTTTATATACATATATATTACAATATATATATATATATAATATATTTGGACATATATTCAATATATTGAATATATGACACATTGGGCTTTAGGTAGCTAAAATATGCAATATATTGGTTTCTACTATAACTTTTTTTCTATTGAATTTTTGCAGTCAGAATGGCTAAGCGTGTGAAAACCTATTCCCTGCAGGAAGTATTAGATCAAGTATGTGCTGACGACAGTGATTTTGGAAGCGACCTTGAAGACAAAGATTCCGATGAGCCGTATGTTGCTGAAACTGGTGTTGATGATATCGCTGACAGCGATGGAGGCGATTCTAGCAGTGATGACGGCATACCGCTGGCTCAGCTGGCTACGCCTAATAACAATAGAAGACTTTCAATGGAAAAAAAGACTTTCGTCCACCTGAAATAAACTTTCAGGGAGTGCCTCTGGAACCAACCGACCCAAGGGGGATATTGCAAACCCCACTGATGTATTTCCGCCGATTTGTCACCAACGAAATGCTGGAACTTATTGTTGAATACACCAATAGGTACAGTGTACAGAAAGACGGAAAGTGTGTCAGCACATGTGTAAAAGAAATAGAATTGGTTTTAGGCATTTACTTCCGCATGGGAGTAGTTGAAATGCCATCGGTGAGAATGTACTGGGAGAATGAGTCTCGATATGGGCCAGTGGCAGATGTCATGAGTAGAAATAGATTTCAGACATTACTGACATTCATTCACTTTGTGGATAATGAGGCAGCTACAGATGATGATAGGAAAGACAAACTGTGGAAAATAAGGCCATTTGTCAACATGTTTCGTGAACAGTGCATACAAGTAACTCCAAAGCAACAACAATCCATTGATGAAATGATGGTTCCCTACAAAGGCAAATTCAGTAAAATCAGACAATACATAAAAGGGAAACCTCATCCTTGGGGGTTCAAGGTGTGGGCAAGGTGTTCTGTTAGTGGATTACTACATGACTTTGACATCTACCAAAGGAACGGTGGTAATAAGACTAAAGCAAGTGAACTAGGATTAGGTGGGGATGTCATTGTGAAACTTTGTGAAACACTTCCAACAAACAAGGACTACCAGGTCTTTGGAGATAATTTCTTCACATCAGCAGGACTACTCGTAAAGATGAAGCAACTGGGTTTCCACTACACTGGGACTGTTCGAAAGAATCGTCTCGCCAAATGCCAGTTGATCGGTGGCAAGGAAATCGCAAAGCAAGGACGAGGGTCATATGATTATCGTGTGAATACTGTGCACAACATCGTCTGCCTAAAATGGCAAGATACCAAGGCAGTAACTCTCATGTCAACCTACGCTGGGTCAGAGCCAGTAGATGCAGCCCATCGATGGGATAAAAGCAAGAAAGACTATGCCAATGTGGACCGCCCATTCATCATAAAGGAATATAATACCTACATGGGCGGTGTCAATATGCTCGATGCTCATCTTGCTCGCTGTAAATTCTCAATCAGGTCTCGCAGATGGTACATAATTCTCTTTTGGCACTTTGTCTCAGTTGGAGTAATCAACGCATGGCTTCTGTACAGGCGGGATTGTCGGCTTTTAGGGGTTGCTGCCAAGTCGGTACTCAAGCTACGACAATTTCAAGCCTTGGTTGCCCAGGGATTGGTGGAAGCTGGTATGGGTTTGGCAAAGAAGCGAGGAAGGCCTTCACTTGATGAGGATGACACACCTACCCGGCCACCCAGGATGGTTCGGATTCATCCAAGCGATGATGCCCGCCGTGATGGCCTCGGCCACTGGCCATTGAAAGATGAGAAACGCCGCCGTTGCGCACTTTGTAAAACGCTAAAGTCAGACACGTACTGCGAAAAATGTAAAGTGCCTCTTTGTTTCAATGACAAGAGAAACTGTTTTACAGAATATCATGTTGAATAAACAACTTGAATTGACTTGACTTGGCTTGAGACAACTTCCACATTGACCCAATGGGTCATATTTGACCCATTGTCAAAAAGTGGGTCAATGGTCAAATTTACGAAAAAAAACTTGGTTTTGTGTTTTAACGATGTATAAAGATTATTTTACCAAGAGGAAATAATTTTCACAATGGTAGAACGTGTCTTGGGTTCTCTAGGGTTAATACAAATTTAAAATTCCTGACAATCGGGTAAACAGTGCAGAGGTTAGGTTCTAGAATATTTCGACAAAAAATGTTGTTGCCATGGCAACGATGACTCCGCCCACACCAAAAACGATAGGCGTCTTCGCTTTACGATAACGCACCTTCGTGCGAAATTTGAAGATGATCCGAGAAGAACTGCAGCCGGTAGAGCGTTCTCAAGGAAATCTCTGGGGCGGAGGCGGCGCGCGACAATGCCAAACCAATAGTATCCCCACGAACTTCGTTTGGAGGATACAATAAAACCATTTGTGGTACGATTCTATAAGAAACCCCGCCCATCGGCAAGCTACTTAGTCGATGGTAAATGGCTGGTCGTTACTCCATTCCCCATGAAACTTGTCATTTCATGTCAACCGCACGCCCGCTCTGATGTCTCTGTTAAAGAATCAACCATTACATCACAGAAATTCATTTCATTACAATCAGGATGTAAAGCCGAAACACCTTACTTTTCCTTGCCGGCGTATTACTATCATCAAACCCAAATCGACACGGCCGACACCATGCCTACTATTCAACCACTCGTGCAAGGTCTACCCTACATATGGCATGAGTTGTACGCACTTGGTTCCGGGTCACCCGCTAACTTTACTAAGTTAGTCACTCACGCGATAGTTCCGCCGAAATTATACGCAGACGCAGACTATGATTTAGAGTTTACGGATTTAATGGAAGCGGTTAAACACAATAAACAGGTCCCATCACATAGTGCTCTTTTCGATCAATGGGATGTTACGAGAATTCACACGGGTACCCACCACACCGCCCTATATGTTTTACTGGCTGGATGCGTCCTTGGCGCCGCTGGTGGGATATTTCTGTACCGTAAGTGCCGTCGCCGTTCGGCATGCTACTCACGCGCCGCGAGATCCACAGTGACGGCGTCTGCAGCGTCTTCGCTGCGGTGGTGCCCGTGCGCCGGCCTATGACATACCTTCAGCCCACCACAGCTACGATCCAACCACCTATACCCACGCCGCAACGCTCCGTCTTCACATGTGCACCTACACCACCCCAACCTGAGAGCATCCCTCTCCAACCCATGTCGTCCCCCCACTTTTCCCCACGCTCCACCCACTCACTGTTGACGCCGCGCCTACTACGGACGCTTAACCGACTAGTGAATGGTCGGACTGTCTAGTTTTACTATGGCTTTACTACGACTCATGAATATTTGATTATTTGCTGCCGACTGTAGTCTGTTCGATAGCCCGCATCGCGTATTTCAACGATGCCAGCCATGGTTGTCGCATGTACTATGCGACTGTGCGACTGTATTTTATTGTTGTTGTATGTATTGTTGTTGCAGTAGACTGAAGCAGTCCGTATACATGTATATAGAGGACCTTCTGATATACGTAGAATAGATAGAATAACGCATGTGTGTTCAGGGACGATATAATTATACTAAATGCAATACGGTCCCAATTAATTGAGTTGATAGTATTACAAATTATAATGGAATGCATAGAATGCTTGAATAGCACCAGCAACGGATGGTTGAAGTGCTTTGATTACCACTTGTCTGTGGTTACTTCTCTACCTTCACGCTATCCGTACCTGAGCTGCAGCTACTGACTTCTTTTCCCTCACGACCATATATAGACTTATACGATGATCAGCAAAGCATCATGAACACCCGATATCTGCTATGATGGAGGATGACACTCATATACAATACAATGCCACAATATTCGTTATTTATATAATGCAATGCAGTTACTAAGAGCCTTTCACCTATTCACAGGTGCAGATAAACTTAGGATTGGATATAGAAATTTTGTAGAATATCTCAGATTTGAAATTCTATACAATACCATATAGTATAGAATTGCCTATTCCAAATAAGAAAGGATTTACACATGCACCACTTTCAATGTTGTAGGATACATATTCAGAAATGAGCAGTAACTGGAAGCAGTACCAAGAAATTCAAAACGAAAAAAGAAAAAAAGACGTCGGAAATTCATGTACTAAGGTATGAGCTTTTTCTTATATTTTTGATAATCTTTGGAAGAACTTTATAAAACAGCACCATAATTCGAATGTTGCCATTTGCATTGTCTGTAGTCATTTACATTGAGAGTTCTCAGAAAGATTTCACATTAGCTAAAACAAGTGCGTTTTAGAAAAGAAAAACGGATGGAAATGTATACGTACAAGTGCAGATGGCAGATTATGATACTGTCAAACAGCAGTATCTAAAGAAAGGATCAATGGAGTGGGTTGAGGTCAGTCACTTTGAAATGTTATTATCTATTGTCTGCATTTACCAATTGTACTGCAACTAAAAATTTTCAGATGTTTTCGAAACATTTGAATGTATTTTATATATATATATATGTAAAAAGTCAAATAACATGAATATCTAGGCTATGGTGACATCATCATTGCTGTCACTTGTCTAATAAATGTCTACAAATTTTCAACAGTTCATGCTTTTTTTTCAAAGGTGAAAGCGCCAGATGGCCTTACACTCGTTGCTCTGCAGGAAGCGTGTGCATCTTTTTTTCTACAAGCATCTCTAGAAACGAGAGTGGCAGCCTTGCTACTGAAAATGCCAGACAGGTATATTAATAATTTTCTCATCTTCGTAGTCATCATTATTACGCACACGCACATGTCTGCAGCTTTTGTGGTGTCATTGTATTTGTAATCAGCATCGTTTTTTTATTTTTTTTAAATGGCAATCTTTTTTTGTAAAGTACATGGATTTTAGAATATTAATTAAAAATTTAAGTAAACAAAAATAACAAGAGCCG